GGGCTTGCTCGTATGTGCCCCCTGTGGCTGGATGCTTGCTTGCCTCCCGTGTCTCCACAGGAGGGCAACAGACCCCTCTGGCTGCTGGGTGTCCTCCTCCACTTGAAAGGTCAGCTGTGTGCAGGGGATGTGGCTTCCAGGACTAGACCCCAGTCCGAACCCCTGTATCCACTCCCTCCCTGGGATCCCAGCACCACCCAGCAGAGGGCCAGGTCCAGAAAGGAAATCAGAACAGGATTGGTGCGTGAATCAATGTGAATAGAACTACAGAATGAAGATGATTTTGGACTGTGTAATCCTAGAGAAGGCAGAGCTGCCACACACTCCCCCAGCTCTGGGGAGCCAGGGAGGGCTTCCCAGAAAAGGGAGCATTTTACTGGGCCTTGAAGCATGAATAGGAGTTTGCCACTGGGAGAAGGGTTTTCCAAGAGGCAACAGCACTTGCAAAAGTGTAGAGGCAGAGTGCAGAGCATTCTTTGGTGGGGGAGATGAGGGAGACGAAGCCAGAGCAGTAGGCAGAAGCAGACTGGGCTGGGCATCCACAGAGAGGCTCGAGATGGAGAGGAAGGGGTCGATTTAGGGCAGATAAAGTGGGAGAGCAGGTGGGTTGCAACGGCTGCCTGGTATCCACCTTCTTGGAAGACAACAGGAGATGGCTAGACTCCTGGACTCTGTGGGAAGCATGCAGAGATGTGGGGGGGGACACTGAGGCAGGGAACTGGGGTTCTGGGAGGCCTCTCCCCAAACCTCAATCTACCCATCTGTGACATGGGCAGTTTGGATCCCTAGTCTGGGCAAAGCTTTCATCTTTGGACATAAGCTAGGGTTCACATTGTCAGAAGGTAGGGACCAGGGGTCCTGCCTCTGCCCCCACTACACTGCCCCCACAATGCCCAACGCCAAACACTCAGATGTCCCAAGGACACACCAGAGCCCAGGCTAGGATGGGGGCTTCTGCCTTGGCTCCAAAGCACAGAACAAGGCTTGGGGAGCGTGCAGGTGGCTGGGGAGCCCCGGGCCCCCCGAGGGCTGCTCTATTTACCCGTGGCTGCCCGCCCGCCTCTGATGCAACAGGCAGGCTCTGGTTACGTGAGGGCAGCAGCTGGAGCAGCTCTGGGAGTAACCAGGGCATGTCGGGAAGGGTCTGCCTGAGCTGAGCTGGCTGGGTCTACCCCCATGCATCCCACCCACTGCCCCCTCCCACCACTAGGGCTTCCCTCCTATGTTCCTGCCCCTGCTCCCCCCACCACCACCACTCATGTTCCACAGCCCCTTCCCATTCTGGCCAATTCCACCTTCTATGACTCACACTGTTTTCTGTAACAGCCCCTTCTTTTTGTCTTTACCCCAGTTCCTGTCCTATACCCTTCATCCCCCAGCAGGGCAGGCAAAGTCTCAACCTTAGTCTTCTCAGATGAGGGGACACCCTTAGTTGCTGGAGTATGAGGTTGGAGAGTGGAAGGGAGGGTTGGGGGGAGGAGTAGAAAGGGCCATAGAGGGTGATTTGGGAAGGGGCCTGGAGGATGGGGGATGTGTGCACAGGTGGAGGTAGGGTGAGAAGGTAGGAAGGAATGGAAAAGCTGCCTCTCCCTCCTCCAGATCCCCTCCCACAATGTCAGAATGGGAAGGCTTTGAAGGACCCTCCATGGCAAGTATAGTGTGGTCCAGTAGATAGGGCCTCAGGGTTAGAGAGCCTAGGTCCCCATCCCAGTTCCCATTGCCACTCACTGCATGACCTCAGGCTGGTCACTGCACCACTGTGAGCCTGTTCGCTCATGTGAAAAATGGGGACAATAGCAGCCCCTCCTCCTGGAGGCTGGAATCATTTCGAGGCCCACCTTCAATGCCCCCTCCTCCCATCTGGGGTTCCTCTATCCCCATTCCTCCTCCCAGCCCATCACTGACCCAGGCGGTTGGGGATGTCTGTGCCTGATTCAGTTTCCCCCATCATGGAGGCTCCTCCAGGCCGGGTCCCGTGTGTGGTGGCACCAAAGGGGTGTATCCAAGGGTTTCTTGAAGAACTAGAGAGCCCTGGAGAGGGTCTGAGTGATGGAGGGGCATGGGGACCAAGCTGAGGCAACCAAAGACTTCGCTGGGGGATGTGGCAGAGCTAGGAAGGAATTTCCAGGGGTAGAACCGTCTGGGGGTATAGAGCAGGCCCGAAATAAAAAACAGAACTTGGATTGGGGCTAAGGACAAAAAGCCAAAACTGAAGTCTCAGTCCCATCCTGACCACTGTGGGCCAACTGGAGGCAAGTCACTGTTCTCTTGAGCCTCCTTTTACCCCATCCACAGATTTGAAAGAGGCTGGAGTGGCCTCACAATTCACCCAGAGCTGAGATCCTTTCCAGGTCATCCCTACCCTCATGCGTGCTAGGTTCCAGCTTGAATGCCTCATGGGACAAGGAGCTCACTGCCTCTCTCCCAGCTACCCCCAATTCCTATCTCTGGGGCTGTCCTGGGAGCAAATCCTACTGAGTCGGGTCTCAGAATGCCCACACCTCCGCCTTGGCAAGGAGGGGAGGCTGCCAGCAGAGCCCAGGAGCAAGCACATGGGGGTAGGTGCGAGGTCCTGCTGGGTAAACAGGCCTCATGGAACCTTAGTTCACGCTCTGAAAAATGGGAGCAAGGACGTATGGGGTGAAAAAGAGCAGGGGATCACAATGCACCCAGCAGGAACAGCCAGGAATGCGGACAATGACCACTTGGGAGGCCCACTGGGCTGACCAAGTCTTTGCCTCTTGCGCCCCCTGGTGGCCAGCGGGTGTGAACGTTCTCTAGGTGGGAGTGGGAGACGGACGTGCAAATGAAATGCAAATAAACCAGCGACACAGGGAGCCCCCCGGGGCCGGGAGCGTGAGGGGTCTTCAGGCCAGAGTCCTGCTCTTTGAATGGAGAACACTATGAGTCATTAGCTGAGATCGCACGGAGGGACTGTGGGTGATGGGGAGCCCTGGGATGGTCTGGGGCACACCACGGATGCTCCCGCCTAGGTCACAGGGCAGGAGCAAGCCCTCGGGAGCCCCTGGAATATATGCAATTAACTTACTTAGCTGCCTGTCTGTCCTGCCCGTCTGACCCCTAGGTCTGACAAGGCTGGCCTGTCTTGCTCACCAGGGCATCCCTGGGCAGGGCCTGGCCCACAGAGGGCAGGCAAGGTTTGCTGGACAAATGGCTGCTTGACGGACAGGTGGAAGGACAGTCAGACAAGAAGCGCCTTCAGAGTGGGCAAACAGGGAGAGTGACTCTGGGGGATGCCACACACCAGTCAAGGCCACTAATGGGGTGGACTTAAGGATCCTTCCTCCCTGCAAAACTGAGCTGGGGCTGTGTGGAGGCAGGATGGTGGACTGAGGCCCCTAATACACCCTAGAAAGGGGAAAGAACTGACCTATTTCCTGGCTGTGGGAGGTAGTCCTTCCGCACCTCCTGTGTTCATGAACCCCGTTCTAGGCCCTCAGGCTCCTCCACAACACTGACACCCCACCAGGACCCTCTCTCCCCTAGGGTGCCCCTGACTCTTGGCACCCCTCTCTTCCAACCAGAGCAGTGGGCCTGTGACTCACCCTGACTCTACCCCAAATAACTCCATTCTGCTCCCCCTGGTATCTGGTGCTAGACACTGCAATGACACACAGCTGACCTTGGAGCATGACCTTCCAGCCCTGACAGTCATAGTGGTCAGTGTGGGCCCTCCTGTAGTCAGCAGAAATGGACTCAGAGCAATTTTGGCAAATACAGTAAGTTGGAGACCAAGGATACTGAGGAATCGAGTTTTGCTGGTGTCGGATACAGCTAGGTCTAGGACCCCATGAGTGTTCTTGGTCTCCCCTTCTATCTGCCTAGTCAACAACCCTAATGGGAAGGCGGTGACTTCCCCGTGCTTCCCAGCAAAATTTCTGGGTGAGACCTCTCCCTGGGTCACACGCTCATCTCCACCCAATCTCGGTCACCTGGGAGAGGGTGGCTCTGATTGGCCAATGAAAGGTAGCTTTTCCATATGGCCCGAGTCTGGGGTGGGCATTTCTGCTCAAGACAGAATGTGGGCCATGTAGGCAGGTACACAAATGCCCCCTTCAGCCTGCAGAGAAGGTCCAGCCCAGCCTTCCTTGTCCAGGTGGAGAAAGGGAGGACGAGAGAGACCCAGCTCTGGGCCCCATGTCACACAGCATGTCAGAGACAGGGCTGGGACTAAGCCAGATGAGTCCACTGTGTGACCTTGTACAGCTCATGCCACCTCTTGAAGACTCTGCTCCCATTTGTATTTGGGGGTGACACCTGCCTTACAAGGCTGCCTGAGGATGAAGGATGAAAAGATGACCCTTGCAAAAGCCCCAGCATAGTGCTGGGCACACAGTGAGTGGCTGATCAGGTTTAACAGGGTGGCAGTTACTGGGCTGAGGGGCCATGGCCATGACCGTGTCCATGATTGACAGGGGGCAGGCAGGTGTCCAGGGGCAGCAAAGCCTTATCTCTAGACATTCACAGAGGGGCCCAAAGGCTCTGGGCAGAAGAGGAATGTGCTGGCCACACTTACTCGGTCTTCAGTCCCTGCCGGATCCCAGAGTTGTGTCCAAAGGCCCGGCTTTAGTTGGGCTGGGGGATGAGGGTCAGGGAGAGGTGTGAGACCCCCAGGGCTGCAAGGTCACCCTGATGAGGCATCACCTGAGGCAGGAGCCTGGGTGGGACGGAGAAGTGAAACCCAGGGCTTGGAGGGACTGCGTAGGACTCCCACTTCTGGTCAAGGGTGGTGACCCCGCCTCACCTCTCTGAGACTGTTTCCTCTTCTATAAAAGGGAACCGTGCGTACAGGCCCAGGACTGGAAAGGCAGGTGTAAGTCAGAAGCCGGGGAGACTGCAACTAGACCCTATAAAGGCCACCAATCACCCTGTGGGGCGCAGTATTGGGGGAAAAGTGGGGATGGAAGACTCTGAGAGGGACAGTGGGCAGCAATTCTGAAGAGGAAGGGACCAGGGTCTGTAGGGACACAGGCAGGATCCAGAGGAGCCACAGAGCGTTTTATTCCGAGGGGCTGCAGCAGAAGAGGGACAGTAGAAGACACGGGTGTCGGAAGGGCAGCATCCTTGAGGCTGGATGGTGGGAGGGACCAGGGCAAAGACATGGGCGGAGGAAGATGATGGCCCAGGGCTGGTGGGCAACCCTGTGCAGGCCACTGGGGTGGGCTATTGACCCTCTTGGCAGGCTCCCCAGCTCCAGGCCCTCCGGATGCCCCCTAGGTGATCCCACAGCCTGTGGGACTCCCCAGTACCCCCAGAGAGCTAAACGTAGCATCCAGCAGCTGTTCATGAAGTCCTCATGACGCACGGGCAGGAGCTCTGCTGCCTCTCGGCTCTGGGGAGGCGCTGTTGCTCTGGGGCTGTGAAGGCCTGGTCCCCACCCCAGCCCTCTGAGAGTACCATCACAGTGCCTGGCAAATGAGCAGGGCTTTGAGAGCTACAAGAGTAAGGGCTAGAAAGTCCCTCAGGGGCCTCCCATCTGCAGGGGTCTGCCCTCCACGGGCACAGAAGAGCAACATGCGCGGCCTTCCTGGGCGCTGTGCTCTCCTCACGCGGTCAGCCACACTCCTGGTGTTGATGCCTCCCTGCAGGCCTCTCCCCTCGGCTTTTGGGCCTGGCCACGTGGCTGGCCTTGACAAATGGAACAGCTGCAAGGTGAACGTCGTGCACGCCGGGGCTGCTCTCTTTGGCACCCGGTCCCCAGAGAAGCCTGGGCTGGCGTGCCCAGGAGGCCGTGCCCAGGAGGACTGGACCCCCAGCAGCCAGACAGCACTGGTCAAGATTCAGATGTGACAGCAAGGCCGCCTCTGACTGTGCAGCCCCAGCAAACTCTGATGAGTGCCAGATGGCGGCCTCCAGGTCAGCCCGGCCAACCTGCCCAGCGGGGCCCAGCCCACGTTGGAGAACTGAGAGCAGGCCCACGACTGGTGTGTAGGCCCCTAAGTTCTGGGAGAGTCTGTCATGCAGCAGTAGCTGACAGCTACAACACACAGCACTGGGCGCAGCACCCTCTGCTGCCTGACGAGCCTCTCTGACAGAAGGGACAAGCAGAGACTGGAGAGGGGAGGGACTTTCTCAGGGTCACACAGCAGGTCGGCAATGGGGCGAAGATTCCTGAGCTGGGTGGGTAACCGCCACGCTGGGCTCTGCCTGAGAGAATGTGTGTGAGTGGAGCAAGCAGCAGGCACGTGGCAGGCTAGGAGAAACATGGGATCCCCTTTCTGTCTTGGCAGGGGGAACTTGGGGTTGGGACAGGGCCTGTGGCCTGGATAAGGGGCAGGAAGATGGCAGAAAAGAGCACGAGGGAGAAGGGCTGATGACGTCCTGAGCAGCAGAGGGCTCAAGGTCCCTACCACCCTGAAGCCTCCCACTGATGAAAGCATCCTACAAGCCCAGGGAGAAAGCCCAAGTGGTTAGACAAGCAGGTCCCTTTTGGGACACAGAGAGGGTGGGTTAGTTCAGAGCATGGAGGACAGAGGCTCACGACCCCACTTGGCACTGACCTGCGTCAGAGGGGCCAAAGCACCTCCAAGTCTCTTCTGGGATCAGGCTGAGGAGGGTGGGGGTGGTTCCTCAGGGCTGGAACAAAACATGAGCAGCGTCCTTGAGGCCAAAGTCAGAGGCCAGTCGGGCCTGCTCACTTAGGCTGGAGATGGGACTGGAGGGTGATCCAGACCCTTGGCCTCAGCCTTCAGGGCATCCTCTGTAAAAATGGGACCAGCCACCCACTTCAGAGGTCATGGTGGGGACTCATGCAGGACCGGGCCCTTCAAACCCACACAGAGAAGGGGGAGCAGCACCTCACACTGCTATGGCCTTTTTCAGAAGCACCTGCCTTTTCACAGCAGCAGGCCCAAGCGAGGCCTTCGAAAGCGCTCGGGACACGGTGAATGAAAAGTCAGGGCGATGGCTTTTCGCAGCCCTACTGTGCATAGGGTGCCGTGCGTGACACTACACAGTAAACTCTTGTCCGGATGGCTGTCACCGACCTGTGACACAACGAACCCAGAGAAATGCACGCGATGCTACCCTCAGAGAGAAACGGCGGCACGCCCATTCTTACACATCCACAAGGCTTTTTTTGTTTTTGACAATTCTTGTGTCTCAGTTTTCAGAAACAGTGACACAGATTTTTTTTTCTTTCTAAATGTCTGGTGGGGAACAGGCATGCCAGAACCCCTAAACTGAAGGAGCCAGACACATCTCAAAGTCGGGTTCCAGCTCACAGCACGTGCCCGTGTGTTCAAATGCATGTTTATTACGTTAGCGTGAAAATGAAAACAAAAACTCTCTCCCCCGTGTGCAAGGACTGCAAGTGCTTTTCATTTTGAGGCCATCTGGTGCTCGGTCTGAAGCCTCCTTCAGCTCTGGGGCCCTCCCTGCTGCCGGCAAGGCCCCTGCCCACCCCGCTGGCGCCCCCTTGCTCCCCAGCTCTGGCCACACCCACCTCCTAGATGTTCCTCCAACACCAGCCCCAGATCACCAGCCCCAAGGCCTCTGACCTCACCGCTGTCCAACCTGGAACACCCTCCCCAGGGCACCTCTGTCTGCATGGTGTTCAGGCCTCTGCTCCCACCTCCCTTTTCTTCCTTCATGCATCTGAAGTGCTCTTGTCTGTTCCGTGTTTACCTGGTCGCTGTGTGCCTCCCCGTGAGACCATGAGCACGTGGGTGTTGGTCACTGCCGTGTCCCCAGTCCCCAGCCCAGGGCTGGGCCCACAGCAGAGCTCAGGACTAGGTGCTGAGTGGCTGAACTCTCCCACTACAGATGCCAAAGGACGAGAGGAAGCCACCAGACACCATGAGATGAGGAAAGGGAGCTAAGGAGTGAGAAGCAGCAGTTCCTGGCTGAGCAGCAAAGGTCCTTACAGCGAGGAGGCTGAGAGCAGCAGGAGGGGGCGGTCCCCGGAGCTACCTGTGGCCCTGGGCGGCAGCGTTCATGTGGTCCCGGATGCTGATGGCCTGTTTGAGAAGACCCTCCACGCTGCGGAAGTAGATGCTGCTGTCGACGAGGTTCTTCACGGCGCTGAAATGGGAGGATGGACCCAGTCGGCGCCACGCCTGCTTTACCCTCCCCTGCCCACGCGTGCGGGTGTATCCTCCCAAATGGAGGTTGGTGGGGGGCCTGCACGGGCTCAGGGCTCAGCAGGCACCTGGGGGATGCTATGGTCCTCCTGGAGGGCTTATCATGGGCTTCAAGTTTCAATTTCCCTGCCGTGCCTAGATGATATCCATCCAACAGAGCACATGATGGCCAGATGCAACTTTTTTTAAAGTTTTTATTTATTTATTCACTTAAGTAATCTCTACACCTAACACAGGGCTCGAACTCATGACCCCGAGATCAAGGATCACATGCTCTTTCTCCTGAGGCAGCCAGGCACCCCAGATGCAACTTTTACATCCCTGCTGCTAGATCAACTAATCTTTTTTTGTTTGGTTGGTTGGGTTTTTTTGTAAAGATTTTATTTATTATTGGAGAGAGAGAGAGACAGCACAAGCAGGGGGAATGGCAGAGGGAGAGACAGAAGCAGGCCCCCCGCTGAGCAGGGAGCCCAATGTGGGATTGGATCCCAGGACCCTGGGATCATGACCTCAGCCAAAGGTAGATGCTTAACCAACAGAGCTGCCCAGGTGCCCCTAGATCACTTAATGTTTTGAAGAAGCTATAAGCATGTAAAGATAACCTCAAAGACATCTTGCTTTCCTCTTAGATAACCTATTCCTGCCTCTGAAGGAAGCTTATCAACTCAACTATGAAAAGCTCTGGAGGCGAGTTTGGAGGGAACTAGAATAATTCACCACCGTTTGGGAGGGGGGGCACCACGGCAAAGCTGTGCTAACCTCGTGTTGGTACCACATTGATGAATGTCTAAGGAAAATGGCCTTTCCAAAGGCACTACAGGAAAATGTTTACCAGGCCACTCAGGGCCTTGCTAATGTCAGCAAGTCACCTGTGTAACATCTGCAGTAAAAATAAAAGTGTCATTTTAAAGCCTTTCTAGGGCGCCTGGGTGGCTCAGTTGGTTAAGCGACTGCCTTCGGCTCAGGTCATGATCCTGGAGTCCCGGGACCGAGTCCCGCATCAGGCTCCCTGCTCGGCGGGGAGTCTGCTTCTCCCTCTGGCCCTACCCCCTCTCATGTGCTCTCTGTCTCTCTCATTCTCTCTGTCTCAAATAAATAAATAAATCTTTAAAAAAAAAAAAATTAAATAAATAAATAAATAAATAAAGCCCTTCTAATAAAGACCAAGAAATCACTCACTCCCATTTATTATCAGCCAGGGACCTGCTGGAAAATGGCCAGGAGATCAAAGCGGGAGTGGGGGCAGGGAGGAGCCTTGGCTGTCACCTGCTCTGTTAGCTTGCTCATCTTAGCACCACCAAATGCAGTCAGCTTTTCTGTTTACCCACCTTGATAAAAAGCTCGCTATTATAAGTTCCCTACTGAATAGTTTACCCCAATTTAATACCTTTAAATTTTACACCAACTGTTAACACTGTGTAAAGCATTTTGAACAACTAAAAGATAAGGGCTCTTTCGTGTCCGTAAAGGAAACCTGGTCTCTTAGCATAGAGAAATTTGCATCTCCCTCAAGAGAAGTGCTCAGAGTACACTGGCCTCCTGCCTAGCTCAGCATGGCCCAGTGGAACTTTCTGGAACATGGTAGATACATTCTTTATCCACTGACTTGGCTGCTAAGCACCTGAAATATGGTTATGTGAGACAGAGGAGATGAATCTTTTATTTCATTTTGCTGCATTAAAATTTTAAGTGTGAACAATCACCCTTAGCCTGGACTCCTGCACTAGACGGGGCAGCTAGAAGAACCGGGAGAAAGTTCGGACTCTGACGTGTTCTTCCTTTAACCTGGGCCTCGCTAGCGAGCTCACAGCTGTCCAGAAGCTGTCTGGCAGCTGTTTGGCAGACGTGAGACAGAAACTCCTCTACTTCTTTTCTACTCTTCCTTGAGCTAATTAAGGAGGGTATCTGAGGCCACCATCCTCAAGAAACTGCCATCTGTCCCAGTGGAGGGGCCAAGGCTGCTAATGGCAGAACACTCAGCTCAGTGCCCCTGGCAGCAGGACTTCCTGTCAAGGAACCTTCACCCACACAACAGAAACAGGCAGGCCAAGCCCACGGTGCCACAGATGAGAACTGCTGGGGTGTCTGGCCTCCACCAAAATGACTTAGCCAGCACAAAGGGCAAGCGGCACTTCTAAATAAAACTGCCAGACTCCCGAGGCAAGCAGAACAAGCCAGGACATTAAGTATAGTCAGGGGAACCAACAGAAGAGCAGGAGGCAAGCCCTGCAAAGGTGCAATGATGAAAAGAAACGCTGACTACCGCTTTTTACTCTCTCACACACCTTTCCCTTAGCGGGGGCGGGACGGGGAGGATCTGAAGATTTAGCAAAAGCTAAACACAAACTAAGAAGAATAAGAATAGGGCGCCTGGGTGGCTCAGCTGGTTAAGCGACTGCCTTCCGCTCGGGTCATGATCCTGGAGTCCCGGGATCAAGTCCCGCATCGGGCTCCCTGCTCAGCGAGGAGTCTGCTTCTCCCTCTGACCCTCCCCCCCTCATGCTCTCTCTCTCTCTCTCTCTCTCTCTCATTCTCTCTCTCTCAAATAAATAAATAAAATCTTAAAAAAAAAAAAAGAAGAAGAATAAATGGTCCACCCACGTTCATAGCAGCACTGTCCACGGTAGCTAAAGCATGGAAGCCACCCAAATATCCACTGACAGATGCCTACGATGTGGTGCCCCTATGCAATGGGATGCCATTTGACCTTCAAGAGGAAGGACATTCTGACACAGGCTGCCACATAGGGAGACCTGGGGGACAGCATGCTGAGGGACAGGAGATGGACACAAAAGACAAATACTGTAAGACTCCAATTGTGTGAGGTCCCTAGAATGGTCAGATTCATAAATAGGAAACAGAATGGTGGATGCCAGGTGCTAGGAGAGAGGGGAAGGTGAGTTAGTGTTTAACAGGGAGAATTTCAGATTTGCCAGATGAAAAAAATTCTGGAAATGGATGGTGGTGATGGCTGTACAGCATTACGAATGTATTTAATACCACTGAACTGTACACTTAAAAATGGTCAAAGTGATAAATTTTATGTGTATGTTACACAATAAAAAAAACTGGAGGGGCGACTCGCTGGCTCACTCAGTGGAGCTTGCAGCTCTTGACCTCAGGGTCATGAGTTCGAGCCCCACATTGGGTGTGGAGCCTACTTAAAATTAAAAAAATAAAATGGAAAGAAATCAAAATTTAAGGGGCACCTGGGTGGCTCAGTCCATTAAGAGTCTGCCTTCGGCTCAGGTTCATGATCCCAGAGTCCTGGGATCGAGTCCCACATCAGGCTCCCTACTCAGTGGGGAGTCTCTCACTCTCCCTCTGCACCCCCCGCACTTGTGCTCTCTAATAAATAAATAAAATCTTAAAATAAATAAATAAACATTTAAAAATAAACAGTCATATTTGTGCTTTGGACCTCCCCGCAAACTGCTGTTCATCCCACTGGCCAGTCTGTGGTCCTGGCTGTGGGAGGGAAGTACCCCTTGAGGCACCAGCTCCCGGCCCAGTTGGCACCTCCCCGAAACCGTTATCACCCCTTCCTATGACACATGCGGAGGGGCTCAGCTCCCTGAAGAAGCCTGCCTGAGGCACGTGCGGGTTGGGCCGATGGTGAGAAGCACAGGCCTGGGCTGGAACCTGCTGTGTGGCCAGGTAAGTCGAGATCCACATGCCTCAACTCAGGTGCATTCAGCAGGGCAAGATTCACTGGGCAGCTGGCTGAGGTGCCCCAGAATGCCCAAGAGGTGCCCCCGGCAGTGGGGAGGCTTCAGTGCTCACCTGCAGGCATACTCCACTGTGTAAATGGCTCCCTGGCTCTGCTCCTCCCACCGCTGCATGTCGGCCTATGGCGGATAGGAAGCTGTCATCAAGGGGGCTGCCACCTCCACCCTCCCAGTTCTCTGGGACGGAGCACCTCATCACCCATCACTGTGGCCAGAGACCAGCCACCTCCATTCTGATCTTCGCTCCTACAGATCCCCTCCCCCACCAGTCTGGGCTTTCTCTGAACACCTGGCTACCGTGCTTCAGAGCCTCTGCACCGGCTGTTCCCTCTGCCTGGCACATCTTTCCCTCAGGTCCACATGCAGCTGCCTCCTTCTCACTACACAGGTCACAACAAATGCACATCCTGCGTCCCCTTCTCCCAAGTCTGTCCACCCATGGCCCCAACCTGTCTCAGTGACCTCGTGCCTCCTTGCCAGGGTCCCAGCCTTGACTCCTCCCCCAACAGCCCCAGCTCCACATAGCAGGTCCTGGCTCATGACGTGAGGACTCTAGGGGAGGGCAGGGGAAGGGGCAAGTGGAGCTCACCTTATGCTGAGCCAGCTCGGGCAGAGAGCGGCGCACATGCTCCTGCAGCCGGTATAGGGCCACGGACGGCTCGTTGGCCAGGACATAGACGCTCTCAGTGAACTTGTCTGTGACTGGATTGAAAATCAACAGTTGGGCGTAGGTGGGGGGGGGGATGGCAGAACAAGGGGAAGGGCAGCAGAGACACGGGGACAAAGCATAAGACTCTTGACTGCTTAATCCATGAGTCCAGCTAGGCAGTGAGGACTGTCCGGTGTCCCACCCAGGAGCTAGGTCACCTGTGGCCCCGGTGATAGGTGGAAGGAGATGGTCACAGAAAAGGCCTCATTTATCATGATGTTAACACATCCAGTGGACTCATGATTTTCCCCTCCCAAGCCCACCTGTAGTAGACACTGCTTCCGTCCACTTGGACCCTTTTCACATTCCTTTTATCCCAAGGAATGAATCTGAGATTCTTCTTCAGAGAGTCCCACCAGTTACTGGACCTGAAAATGCCTGGAAGCTTAGATCCCTGGATGGCCTTCAGCCATCAAAGGGTATTAAATCATGTCCCATACCTTTTGTTGGGATAATGTGGAGGTATAACTCATCCTTCTGAGTTCTCCTGAAGGATCAGGCTAAGAATTTTACCTGACAGCACTCCTTGCTCAGCTTCCTCCCTATCCTGTTTCTCTCTCTTCCCTCATCCATTCTTCCCACTACACTGCCCTCACTGGTCTGGGTATGGCCACCTCCCACCTGAATACCAGGTTCAGTCAGCTCCTCCCTGGTCTCCCTGCTTCCCCTCTGCCAACAGTCCAATCTCCACACAACAGATAAAGTGAGCTCCTAATGAACCTATCAGATATGTCCCTCCCTTGTCTGAAATCCTCCCATGGCTCCCATCGACCACAGCATAAAATCACCTAACTTACTGTGGTCCATAAGGCTCTATATTCTGCCTGCTGTTGACCTCCCTGCCCTCCTCACCCTCCACCCAAGACACAATGACCTCCTGGCTGTTCCTTGAACACCCCAGTACTGTCCAAAAGAACTTTCTGAGATGATAGAAAGGTTCTATAGTGTCCAATAACATAGGCACTAGGCACATATGGCCACTGAGCACTTGAAATGTGGCTAATATGACTCACAAACTGAATTTTATTTTATTATTTTTTTTAAATCTTCATTCCAGTATAGTCCACATACAGTGTCATATTAGTTGCAGGTGTACTAATGTAGTGATTCAACAATTCTATACATTACTCGGTGCTCACCCTATGAATTTTAAATTTTACCTAATTTTAATTAAATTAAATACCCACAAATATCGTGACCAGGAGCTGCCGTATTGCTGCACAGCTCTGAACACTTTGCCACCTCAGTGCCTTTGCACCTGCTGTTCTGACACTGACTCGCCCTTCTCTCACTGGCTTCTTTTCATCCCTCCTGTCTCAGCTCAAATGTCACCTACTGGGCAAGGCCTTCCCTGATCACCAAGCTTAATCAGATGTCCCTTCCACCTCATTCTCAACCTTCAGCACCTTGTTCATTTCTCTTACACTTTATTAGGTTACCTGTTTACAAGAAAAAAAAAAATCAAAGCTTGGATTCTTGAGGGCAGGAGAGTCTCTGAGCCTCAGTTTCCTCATCTGTAAAAACAGTGATAATAGCACCCACTCAAGGTTTGTTACAGAGATGGACCCCATGCTATTGCCCAGTACAGAGCGGTGGACAAGAGAGAGAACGCTGGTGTGTCCGGGATTCAAAGGAGGCTGTGCATGAGTCTGGCCAGTGTCAGTCTGTCTAGCTCACTACCGCGCCCTCAGTGGGGCAGAGCCCATCCTGCAACCTCTAAACTGTATGTACTCTAATCCTCCTAGTCCTCATTTTGAAAATGTACATAACAGCTTACCCTTCTGTGTTGTTGCAAAGAAGGTGGAATGAAATGTACTTGTGCCTTCTAAATAATCAACTAGAAATAACGTGTGATAAAATAAAAACCTTTATGACTTAAAAATAGTTTGTGGCAGGGGCGCCTGGGTGGCTCAGTCATTAAGCATCTGCCTTCGGCTCAGGTCATGATCCCAGGGTCCTGGGATCGAGCCCCGCATCGCGCTCCCTGCTCCGTGGGAGGCCTGCTTCTCCCTCTCCCACTCCCCCTGCTTACGTTCCCTCTCTCGCTGTGTCTCTGTCAAATAAATAAGTAAACTCTTTTTAAAAAATAGTTTGTGGCACTTTGTAATTTGTAAACACCTTGACTCACAAATATTTAAACGTAAACCCAGTCAAATGCGTAAACATATTAGGGAATAATACGCACAGCGACTGCCAAGTCCCAGGCGTTCTTCTAATGCATTACAAACATCAGGTCATTGAATTCTCACAACAAACCTAGGGGGGACCGGGAGAGACTACCATACACCCCATTTTACAGATGACAAAACCGAGGCACGGAGACTTTCTAAAGGTTTTAAAACTAGTCAACGGCCGAGCCAGGATTCAATGGTGGTTCAATTAGTTCCCCCGCATGCTCCCTCCAAGCCTTTGTCCCCTCCTGCCCTGTCGGGTCACCCTTCCGCCCAGCCCGAAGCTCTGCACCACCTTTCTTTCCCTTGAGCTGCATCTCCGGTTCCTCCATAGCTACCGCGGACCGATCCGAAGACCGGAAGCAGAAGTTCGGCTCTGGGGAAGGCTACCTAAACCTCCCCCTGTGAAACCAGACGCTGCGCCACTCTAGTTCCGGTGTCAATTGACCTTCCTTCCCCAGTCCTTTCTGAGTACTCAGACTGGAGAGAAGCCGTGAGTGAGAGACTGGGGAAGGAGGCACACCGGTAGGCGGGTGAGGAAGGGGCGGAGAACCCCTGAAGCTCCAGAAGGGACACCTAGGCAGGGAGGGGCAAGGGCGCCCTCCTTTCCCGAACTCCCTTTTCCGGGGGCAGACGAATTGGGGAAATGGTTCCAAACATTGCCCACTTCGGGCTGCTTTAAACGGCCTTTCTGTACCCTCCTGCTGCCATCAGATTCTTACACATGCTCATAAGCCTCCAGGACCGCAAAGGGGGCATTGTTGTGGACGGGTGCAACGGCAGTGTCGCCCCTTTAAATCCCTGACGCCCCGACTGCTCCCCGCCCACCGTCTTCCGACTGGAGAAAGCCCCACCCATCCGGCCTCAACGGGAGCCTAGCGGCACCCTTTGGAAAAACCTGTGGGCGGAGCTGGGGGGGAGTGACGGAAGACAGGCGCAATGAAATCCTCAGGGCCCTCTGAGGCTCCACCCATCCTTCCTGACCCGGCCGGGCTCCCTCCGGAGATGCCGGGGCAAGAACGCGCAAGCGCAACAGCACTGCTTGGGCCCCAGCGGAAAGCACGCCCCTCCCTCAAGTCTTAAAGGGCCAGAAGCAGCTTCTACAGCTCTCGCCTTTAGGCACTTTTGGGGAGGCAGGGTGCGCAGGCGCAGTGGGAGAGCTCTGGGGTGGGGGTAGCGGTCGCGTATCAAGTTGCTCTCTGTCCCGGCAGAAGAAACCAGGACGGTGAGGGTCCAGGTTCTAGCTTGCTCCCTCCTGTATCAGTTGGAGGAGAAAAGTTTGTGAATTGGGCCCCCAAGTTTTGGGGGACCCGGGCTTGCGGCGTGGGGTGACAGAGGAAGCTCTTTAGAGGTGAGTGGACCTCCTGATCTGTTTGGAAGAGGCCGATGGGGATGGGACCAATCACATCTTTGTTGAGCACTGACTCATTCTGGGGACCCCCCCCAAAAAAATAACTACAGAGAACGTTTATTAAGCTCTGCCCGTGTATAAGGCCCCCAGCTTAGCTGTTTACAAGCATGATTTTAGACCTCACTTCCCTATTTTATTAATGAGCAAACTGAGGCTCAGAGAAGTTAAGTCATGTGCCCAAGTTCTCTGCCTATAAGTGGAGGGATTTGAACCCAGGTAGTTGACCCCATTTTATGTAAAGCATGTTGTATATGTCCTGGTGAGGGGGGCGGAGGAGTGGGCCTGAAAAGCAGCTGGACTCTGGTTTTTACTTCCCAGCTGAGCTAGAGTTTAGCCACCGTCACTGTGCAAAATTGGGTATGCCGTTGGTGCCTACTTAATAGGAGTTGCTGAGAATTATTCTCTCTCCCCTTTCGGTGCTTCCACCAGCTTCCCCCATGGAGCCCACCCAGCCTGCAGAGGACCTCAGTGTGACCCAGCAGCTCCCCATCCCAGAATTTGGGGACCCTGAAGACCCTGGGGATGAGGCCCCCGATGGCTCAGATACTGTGGTGCTCAGTCTTTTCCCCTGCACCCTGGAGCCTGGGAATCCTGAACCGGATGCTGGTGCCTCCTCACCTCAGGGTAGGTAGGATATTTCCCCTGGACGACTCCCTGTCTGGGATGCAAGAACAGTGGAATGTCAGGCCCAAGATAGGATCTCTGTCTTTATGTTCCACTACCTGGAATGTGTCTTCTCTCTCACCCAATGACAGATTGCTTTTATACATACACACACACATACACACGTATGAATAGAGGATGGCTAAATCCACATGACATAAAAGTTACTATTTTAAGCAGACTTGCACACAGTTCAATGGCAGTAAGTACATTCACGATGCGTGTAACCCACACCTCTATCTATTATTCCAGACCATTTCCATCACCCCAAAAGGAAACCCAATCCCCATTAGTAGTCACTCTCCATCCCTCCTCCCCTGCCTCTGTCAACAGTAATCTACTTTCTGTCTCTATGGATTTGCCTGTCCTAGACGTCTCATATAAATGAATCATACAACATGTCTTTTGCGTCTGGCTTCTTTTGCTCAGCATGATGGTTTTTTGTTTTGTTTTAAGTTTTATTTATTTAATCTCTACATCTCACCTGGGGCTTGAACCCACAAGCCCGAGATCAAGAGTCACATGCTCCTCTGACCGAGCCAGCCAGGCACCCCTCAGCGTGGTGTTTTTGAGGTTCATTCGCATTACAGCATGTGTCAGTGCTTCTTTACTTTTTATGACCTGATAATAGTCCATCCCGGACGACATTTTGCTTATCCATTCATCCACTGATGGACACTAGGGTTGTTCCTCTTTTGGCAATCGTGACTAGTATTGCTGTACACATGGGTACAGATACAAGTTGTTGTCTGAGCGGTTGATTTCAGCTCTTTGGGGTAGATACCTAGGAGTGGAATTGCTGGGTCAGATGGTGATTCTGTTGACCCTATTAAGGACCCAAGGATTTCTTTTGACTAGAATCCTTGAACATGTCGAATTCAGTACCTCCTGGGGCCTTGGTCCCTGCTGTTCCCTCTATGTGGAAAGTTCTCACACCTCTTCCCAGGGCTGACCAAGCTTCAACTGACCAAGCTCTCAGTTGGTGTCCTCTCCTCAGAGTGGCCCTCCCTGACCACCTTGTCTAAAATGGACTCACCCCCTGCCCTCCCCTCTTTCCACTCTCTTCTACTACCTGCTTTTTATAGCTCCTGAACACTTATTTCTCTATTTCTGTCTGACCGCCCCCCCCTTTGAGGGCAGGGACTATGTCTCGTTTGCCCAGAATGTCACCAGGTGTAGAGAAGAAAGGCTCACCAGGAGGGCAGAGTGAGTGAATGGGGGAGGGAGGCACTGTCTTTGGTAGCTTCAGGCCCCCAAGACTTGTCTGAAGCCCCAGAAACATACTGAGAGGAAACTGAGGCCGTTCCTTTCTCTTCCAGGAGGCAGCTCCCTGAAGCACTCAACAACCCTCACCAACCGGCAGCGGGGGAACGAGGTTTCGGCCCTGCCAGCCACCCTGGACTGTAAGTGAGCCTCTGGTTACCCACCCCCACCCTCCCCCGGCCTCCCTAAGTAGCAGGGCAGGGGCAGTAGGAGTGGCAGGGGCTGAGAGGAACAACTTTGGATGGGGTAAATTGAGGCACGGAGCGGGGACGGGACAGGTGAGGACTCTGGCTCTCTCTGGCCCCTAGCCCTGTCCATCCACCAGCTTGCGGCCCAAGGGGAGCTGAGCCAGCTGAAGGAACATCTGAGGAAAGGTGTGTGTCCACACGAGTACGCTGGTGTATCCATACCTGTCTGACCACACATGTTGGGGTATGCATGTGGGTCCTGAAATGACCTGAGGCTCCACTTATGCTCACCTATCTACACGTTTGAGCATGTCCACACATGTAACCCCCCCAGCCCACGTCTGACCCCAGCCGCCCACCCTGTCCCTGCTCCCGCAGCACTGGGGAGAGGGGGCAGGGGTGCATCCCAGTGGTACCACCCCCCTCCTGCCAGGCGACAACCTCATCAACAAGCCGGACGAGCATGGCTTCACCCCCCTCATCTGGGCCTCTGCCTTCGGAGAAATCGAGACTGTCCGCTTCTTGCTTGAGTGGGTGCGTCCCAGCCCAGCTCAGGGCTTCCCAGGGACTTGAGGGCGGGCTGGGGTCTGAGTCAGCTGGTGCCATGTCTGTAAGATGGGGCCGCGATGGGTACCCCAGGATTCCAAGGGATGCCCTCACCCGTCCCATCGCCACTCCCTCTGCTCCCCGCTCCCCCCACCCCACTGCAGGGTGCTGACCCCCACATCCTGGCCAAGGAGCGGGAAAGTGCCCTGTCACTGGCCAGCATGGGCGGCTACACAGACATTGTGGGGCTGCTGCTCGAGCGTGACGTGGACATCAACATCTATGACTGGGTGAGGCACCAGCCACTGGCCCTGCGCACCTGTCAGGGTACCAGGCCTGTTATAGGTGCTGAGAACACAAGACAGACCCATCCCTCGCAGAGCTCCTAGTTTAGGGGGTTGGAAGAGGAAGACGGTACATAAGCAGTCAGCTGAAATGTGAATACCGCTGTGATAGCAGACACACAGGCAACTGCAAGGGCCTGGAGGTGGCTTACATAGCCAAGGGAAGTCAAGGAGGGCTTCCTGAAAGAAGGGGTATCTAAGCTGAGACCTAAAGGAGGAATTAGACCAGGTGATGAGTAGGAGGAGGAACCACATTAAATTAGAGGGTTGGGGGTGTTCTGAGAATCTGGAAAAGACAGAATGTTGGTTGCCTTTGCTCCTGCCCTTAACAGAATGGAGGGACACCACTGTTGTATGCTGTGCGTGGGAACCATGTGAAGTGCGTAGAAGCCTTGTTGGGTAAGTGGGAGTAGCAGCTGGAATCCTGAGGGCCAGGGAGGCGTCCAAGCTCTGCTTGAACAGCTCTTAGGATGCGTGGTCACTATCTGCTTTTCCCAGAGGACTGATCTGGGGACAGGAGATGGTGGGATAGTACAAGGGTCTAGCTAACCGGGTTGAACACCCACACCCTCCAGGCCTCAGGGACCCTGCAGATGGGGATTCTATTGGCCACATTCTTTGGAGAGCTCAGGTTCTCATCCAAGCCCACACGGGCAACCAGCAGGCCTGTGGCTGTACTGTGAGGGATCACTGGACCTCCCAAATCGCCATGCCCCATCCTGGGCTCCCAGTCCCCCACCTCCACCCCCCTGTACACCTGCTTTGCTTTGCAGCCCGAGGAGCTGATCTCACCACGGAGGCTGACTCTGGCTATACCCCAATGGATCTTGCCGTGGCCCTGGGATATCGGAAAGGTCAGCCTGAGACATGGGGCAGTGACAGTGTGCTGTAGGTAGGGTGACCGCAGGTACACAGGACATGCCTCTCGGATGTGTCAGATGCTAGCAGTGAGAGCGTTCATGTTAGCAAACATCTAGCGCCACAGTGTACCTGGCCTGGGCACATGCAGGAGGCCGATGTGGGTCAGCGACTGGATTCACGATGGGATACACACAGGCGCTGGGAGGCCCAAAGGAAGCTCTGGCCCAGCCCCATGATAGGTGGGAATCAGGGAGGGCTTCCTGGAGGCCCAAGGGAAGGGAGGGAGGATGGTGTCCAGGCTGGAGGAACAGTATACACAGGCCTGGCAGGATGAGGATGCCAAGGAGGGGCTGAGCCACAGTGCACAGGCTCATTGAGGCTAGCCCTCTCTGTGGCAGGAGGTGGGTGTGAGTGGGGACCATAGGCAGACCCCAGTTTGATTCTCCACTTCCCCCTTCAGCTTCCCCATCTACGAAATGGAGAGATCCTAATAGAACCAAACCCTTGGGGTCATGGAGGGATTCCTTTGAGTTTTATCCCACTTGGGACAGAAATCATTCCTCACGGCCCCTCTCATCCTTTAATAAAAGTCACAAGTCACCAGTTTTGTTTGATAAAGATTGTTTTTATGACTCTAAAAAGCCTCCAAAAGTGCTTTTTTACAAACCATGGGGAAGTTGAGTTTCCTGGCTTGGGTGCCTCAATCTTCCCAGATGTACTCTGGGGAGAGTCTGGATTTCCCCATGTATGAAGTACGTCCTCCATCCATGTCCCAGGGCCTGGAGATCCTTCTTTGTGCCCCGAGAGGCAGGGTGCAGTTCTCATGGTGGGATACCCCAGCTCATCCCCCAGGAAAGTGTACAATTTGGCCGGTGCCCCTGCAGTCTCCATTGGATTCATGGCCCACCTTTCCCCTGTCCTGTTTCCAGTGCAACAGGTGATCGAGAACCACATCCTCAAACTCTTCCAGAGCAACCTGGTGCCCGCAGATCCTGAGTGAAGACTGCCTACTGGGGACTCAGATACTCAGGGAACAAAACAATTGACCTAGAACTAGCTTCAGAGGCAGCTCCTGGACAGACAGTGGGAGGAGATCCTTCCCAGGAGGAACCAATAAACCTTCTGTGTGCATAACTTGAAGGACTTCACTGTGCTTCCCCAAGGGTCTCCTGGAGGAGTCAGCTACCCAGTGGCCTCACACCCTCTCCCCCAGCACCCGCAGGTGGTAGATGACTACTCGGCCAAAAAAGTCAGTGGCGTCCTCAAGCGTCATCTTCAGCTGGTCCACCTCAGCAGCGGGCACAGGGAAGGTGTGAGCACAGGCAGTCAAGGGAAATAGGTAGCTCATCACTTCCCATCCGCCAGCCCCAGCTCAGACACCACCAGTATGCTGGGTGAGCCAGCACACTGAGCCCCTCTGAAGCTCTCACACAGAACAGGTTACCATCAGCTCATTTTACAGATGAAGCAATGGAGGCCCAGAGCCACTTGCTCAAGGTCACCAGGATCCACAGCCTTCAGAGGCACAGACCACCCCCCCCACCCCTCCACCCCAGAGGCCCAGGCAGGATATCTGAAGGGAGTTGTTGTCTTCAGGGTAGAAGTCCACAATCTTGCAAAGAGCCTCACTCCCCTGGGAACCTGCAGCCGGGAAAGGGGCAGGCTGTGAGGCTGGGGTTCTCCTCCCAAACCCCCACCTTCCAGAGCCTTCCAGTACCTTCCAGGTGGCCCCGGCGACTGGAGAAGCCCCCCTGGAACTGGATTTGCAGCTGGGAGACACGGATGCGCTGGGGAAACTCTAGTATCACCCACTGGGAGGGGCCCTGGAAGCAGACAGGGAAACTGAGGCTCACAATCACTTGCTCAGAGCCCTGCTATACCTGTCTCATTCACACAGACGATGGTGGTGGGAGAGGGGGCTGTTGGCACACGTTCCCTCCGTGGCCAACTTGACTCCCCAGCTGGAGTTCTCCTTAGCTCTCAAGGCACCCTGGACCCCTGAATCTGATTCACGGGAGTGGGTGGAGGATCCAGGGAGAGGTGCCTCACCTGGTCCGAGTTCCAGCACGTCTCCTCATTCTGGTCGAACAGATGCTTCTTTCCAAACTGCCGGGTGTTGCGATTCAGCACTGAACTCACCCTGGAAGCACCAGAATCCCGGAGAAACGAGGAGCTGAACCCAGCGCCGAGGCCCCGCCCACCAGAGGGCCCGCCCCCTCCTCACCTCCAGCTTCCCCCGGCACCCCCAGCTATGTCAACCCGGGGCTCAAGGGCCACGTCCGCCGCTGCCCGGCGGCCAGGTTCTCACCTGCTCACTGTCTCTGGACAAACCAAAGAGTGGGTCATTTCGGCTCCACAAAGCCTCCCACGGCTCAGAGCTGACTTCAGCCGGTGTTCGAATCCCGGCGCCAACGCAGCCGCAGCGGCGTGAACTTGACCACGCCTGAGTCTGCAAGGGTTTCAGAGAAACTGCCAGTGACCCGAGGCCAGACTTTAACAGCAGGTCCAAGGAAGGGAAACAGGTTTCCTGTGGGTTTGCTCAGGCTCCGAACCTCAGTCTCTACGAACAGCTCGGAGAACCAAAGCGAGACCCGGAACCACGAGGACACCGCGCAGGCGCAATGTCACTCAGCCCCGCCCAGCCTGCGCTCTCGGGGCAGGATGTAATTTGAGCCCCGCCCCTCCGTGCCCGCCTCTTAAAGGGCCTTCATCCAGTGATTAAGTTTCCGTTGGAGCTGGAGGTCGAAGGCAGGCACCAAAAACATTGTGTGCGGAGTGTATGTGGGGCGCAGTCTCTGGTGCCTGTGGGTATAGAGCACTGGTTTTGGAGTCTGAGAGACTTCCTAGAATGATGTCTCCCTACCTGGGGAAGTCTGCCAAATCCATTCTGTAACTGCGGATGCTGCCTCGCACTTCACTGCCTCCCAGGGACCAAAGGAAGAGCCGAGGAAGACGCCACGATTTTGCCTGTACAGCGAGTCTTCATCAGCCTCCCGTGTCCCAGCTGGAACACAGGAGGCTTAGCCTCCAAATCTTTCTTCCTAGTAAATGCTGCCTGGGACAGGCTTCATGGAGGGGGGCAGGTGAAGTGGGATTTGAAGGATGAACAGGGGTTTGCCAAACCAGATTGCACAAAGGCTAAAAATTTGGTTCACTGATTCACTAAACGACTCGCTCCCTACTGCTCAGCCCAGTGCTGGGTGGTGCTGGGGACTGTGAGGGGCCTCGGTTCCAGCCCCCCACCTGAGGAGCCCCCGGTTTGGGTAAGACACAGCTAGACACACACACTCCCAGACCCATGTGGCCAGGGCTGAGCCAGAAGGAGAATAGGGCTGGGAGACCAGGGGCTCTACCTGGAGGGAGGGTGTCGTGGGAGAGGGGATATTGTGTCTGTACTTTAATGGGTAGGCAGGAATTTATCAGGGTAAGAAAAATGGGGGTAGATTTGTCCAGGCCGGGAGAACAGCATAAGTAAAGGCCTGGTTGGGTGAAAGACCATGGTTTTGAATAAAATATATGGAGCAAGATCCTGCTGAGCCTGAAGATGTTTGAGAAAGGGCAGGACACCATCCCATCTGCATGAATGGAGGGTTCTGAGACTGATCAGCCACTGGCAGGAGGCTGCAGTTTCCTGGCTTTAGCTGAATGGTCTAGAATCCAGCCCCTTTCTTCAAGGGCTAGGGGAATGGTTCTCTTGGCATCCTACTAGCATCGTCCCAAGCCCACTCCAGGACGGCGGCGTAGGGGGGGCTGGCTGGGAAACTGGGACACTAGCGGAAGGGCCGCCCCACCAGCCCCTGCCTGCCAGGACTTCCTGCATTCAGTCATGGCCTGGTGCCATCTAGACCTGGCTCTGTTGGTCTCAGGGCTGGGGCAAGGACTGCGGGTGGCAGAAAAGACCTCTCTATTCCCAGAGGAAAGTGGGAAGAGCATGGACCCTGGAGGGCCCAGATTTGGTTCAAATCCTGGATAGGTCACTCACTCACTGACCATGTGATCTTGGACAAGCATGTTGACCACTCTGAGCCTCAGTTTCCTCATCTGTGAAATGGAGGGAATTCTATTTATAGGACTGCTGGAGAACTCAGGGGACTCTGTGGGCTGACACACAACAACAGTGTCCGGCCTTTGTTAAGAGCCCGTCCTGTGTTTGACCTGAAGCCACATTCTGTCTCCATCCACTGGTTCATCAAACCTGCGGTACTGGTCCATGTCACCTCCATTTTACAGCTGAGGATAGAGCCAATGTCCCCCAGGAAAGATGCATGGCCCTAGGGCCCCCCATGCCCCTCTTGGTCTTGGCATGGAGCCACCTTGCCCACTGGGATGAGGCCAGCTCAGTACCCTCTTCCCGCCTCCTCACCCCACTGGCGCCAGGGCATGAAAGAACCTCCTGTTTCTCCAGGGAATTAGCAGCTCTAAGCTCCCAGCAGGGCAGCCAAAAGTGGTCCATTCATTTTCCTGAGTGAGGAGAGACTAGGCACTCCCTCCCTCTTCACCCAGGGGATGGAGCAGAGGAAGCTCTGGAAGAGCCAGGAGCTGCCACTCCAGTTCACTGAGGGAAACTGAGGCACAGAAAAGCAAAGTCATTTTGCTAAGGTTATCCAGGGGTGACCAGGATTCAAACCTATCTGGCTCTGGAGGTCTCTCCACTGGGCTGAGTTTTGCATTTGTCAAAAGAAGAAACAGTCTCAGAGAGAGTCAGGTCTTTGCTGAAGTCACACAGCAAGTATGGGTCAGCAAAGTCTCTCTCTGGGGATGCAGCCCCACCCGTGGCAAAAAAACAGGTCCAACTTCCCATGTGTTTGTCATGGCGGAGCAGGGTACGGAAAGGCCTTCAGAAAGCTTCAAGCCTTGGTTTCCCCCTGGGGGATAAGTGTAATGATTGCTTCAGCTTGGAGAGTACGTAGGGGTGGATGTGATGGTTCCCAGGCCAGCAGCCCCCAGCGGGGCAGGTCCAAGTGTGATTTATCTGCCAGGGTCTGCCTGGGTCCAACAGGGCCCGCCTCAGAATAGACAGATGCACGCTAGCTTCCAGATGGACTTGTCCGTCCTGGCAGGGTGCGAGCCTGGGAGCCTGGGAGCCTGGGGAAGTGGGGGTGACAGTAGGAGTGGGAGGGTGTGGCCCTGCGTGAAGGGACTGGAGTGAGCTCACCGGGGAACCCCCCGGAGCCACAGCTGCGTGTGTTGAATGGTGAGCACAAGTGGCAGAGCTCTGAGATGGATCTCGGGAGGACTAAACGTCTCCATGTGGGTGCCAGGAGTGCCCAGTGATCTTAGTTGGGTGCTGGCTGTCTGGAGGTGCACCCATGCCTATAAACAGGGTTGGAGGTGAACAATGTGGGGCAAATGTACCTGTTGGTGGCTGCGGGGACAGCTAAGGTGCAGTGCGTGTATTTGAGTGTAAACGGACTAGAGGTGCGGCTGTGAGTTTGGTTGTGCAACCCACATGGCTTGGGTGTGACCAAATGAGGTTGTATGTGGTCTGTGCGACGTATATGTGGTCTTGCCTCATGTGGTTGCATATAAGCCCCCTGTGCTGTCTGGGATGTGATGTGGGTTAGGGGTTCGTTGGTGACATTGTGTGACACGTGTGAATGTGGCTGCTTGTGTCATGTCCGTGTGTCATCTTGGGCATGTTAAGAGGCACTTTGGAGGGCTACTGTCCACCCCTGAGACCCAGCTCTCCTGGAAGGTCCAAGCTCCCAGCTCCTGCTCTGGCCCACCAGCCCCCTCCCCTGCTTCCTCCCTCAACTCACTCCAGCCCCTGGCCTGGGCCCCAGTGTGGGGGGTACAGAGAAGGCACTCAGGGCTGGCAGGGTGGCTCACCCAATCCCAGTGCAGGCCTATAAATAGCTCTTTGAGCCCAGCAGATTCCCAGGCAAGGTTGCCTCATTCAAGCCCCCAGCAACAGCCGCCCCCCCCCCACCTCCCCTGGGCCCCAGGCCAGCCCCTCTAAGCTCCGTCTTGGCACTGGCCAGTGGGACCTGGGGGTGGAGAGGAAGGGGTGTAGAGAGGTGGGGGCAGTCAGGGGTGAGGGTCAGCTTGGCTCTGAGGCCATGAACCTAGGCTCCCACTTGGTCCATACCCATACTGTACAACCTCAGGCAGGTGGTCCCATGCCTCTGAGCCTCAGTTTCTCCCAGCTGGAAAATGGGCAAAACATAAGAGCAGCCCCCATCTTATGTGTTTACTTCCCATTTCATTCTCTCAGCAACCCTGTAAGACAGGGACTCTTAATTATCCTCCTTTTAGCTAGGGTAACCGAGGCACAGAAAGACAAAATGGCTGGCCCAGAGTCATTCTATTAGGAGTGGAAAAGAGGGGTTTTGAATCCTGAACTTGTGGAGGCAAAGCTGCTTGGATCCCTTGCATGTCACACAATCACACCCAGACCCCCGACCCCCCCACCCTAATGCTGCCATAATCACCCTTCACACCAGCCTGTCAACTACAGACACTCATATCAGCGTGACCCCTGACCTCCATCTCTCCTCTGTGATGAGGACTGAACAGTAAGCATAGCTCCCCAGTGTGTCACTTTGGCCCCTGGGGCCACCACTCACCCACTCCTGGACCAGCCGACTGGGTCCACGTGCATTAGACAAGGACCTGTACCAATGCCTAGGGGCAACATTTCTCCCCTAGGGTCCTTCCTCAACCTTCACTCATCTCCACCCCCTCTTTGCTCTTTGGTACTTTTGCCGAAACCATCTTGTCACCTATTTGTCTGTTCCCCCATCAGCCTGAGAACCCCCCCCCCACACACACACACTCATACTCACACATGTGGGACATGGTGTGAATTGCAGACTCTCTGTCCAGTACATCCCATTCTAAGCACTGAGAGACTAAGACTCGAAGGAAAGGTGGGGGAAGGGCTGACCTCTTTAAACTTTTGATCCCCCTCATTTCCGTTTTTCATTGTGGCAAAATACACCAGAACACAAAATTTACCATTTTCAAGTGTACAATTTAGTAGCATTAATTATATTCGCATGATGGTGCAACGATCACCGCTATCTAGTTCTAGAACACTTTCGTCCCAAAAGGAAACCCAGTACACATTTGCAATCATTCTCCATTCCCCCTCCCCCAGCCCCTGGGAATCACTAATCTACTTTCTGTCTCTGGATGTGTCTGTTCTAAACATGTCATATAAATTGAACCATACTGTGGTCTTTTGCGTCTGGCTTCTTTCACTCAGCATGCTTTCAAGGTTCATCTGTGATGTAGCATGTAGCAGGGCTTCCTTCCTTTTTATGGCTGAATAATATTCCTTTGTATGGATCTAGACTTCTTAAGGTTGAAGTCTCCCTGCAAAGACCCTGCCCAAAGCAAAAATATTCCTGGGACAACAGTACCTACTCCACAGCTGGTGCTCTATAAATGCCCACTAGATAAAGGAATGAATGAAAGAATGATACATTCAGGCTGCAGCTGGTGGAAACAGCTGTGGGCTGTGACAAGCCTGGGCTCCAACGCTGCGAGTCTCTTACCAGCTATGTGACCCAGGAATCTTTCTATCCTCTCTGAGCCTCAGCCTATACGTGGGATAAAACAGCAATTGTAGCCAAAACTCCTTCAAGTGCGAGCCTGGAAAGTCAGGCAGGCCAGGGTTGGAA